AAGGGACAATGTCTCTTTTTATAAGAATCATGTTCCCAGTGGTTGTGACAAACTTGTACTACCTCTTCCATGCCATTGAAAGTGTCTAACTTTTCATACAATTGATAAAGACTGGAACCCTCTGCTCCTTCTAGAAAAACATTATGAACTGTGATAACAAGCACCCTGAGATAGGGAGAAATGATACTTCAGTCATTGGTTAAAGAAGAACTCTGGTTAAATATGTTATTAACACTTGCAGTGGGGCTACCTCCGCACTGCAAGGGTTAAGTGCTTGTTTTTGCCTAGGGTCAAAAATAATAAAGTTATACTCACCCGATCCTCCAAGCCCGCAAGCTGTGGCACTGCTCCTTCTGACAGCTACTCCTAGAAGATTTGGAGTGAAATTGGGTGATTTCACTACTATGCTGCAGGGACGTGTGGCCAGACAGTGCTCCCTCCAGCCTGTCTCCTCCTCTACTGTAGCGATGGTATGTCCCTCAGCATTCTCACATCCTATACCCAGTGTATAGAATGTGATGACTCAAGAACCTTAGACGGTTGCAGCGGAGGGGGAAAGAGGCTGTGGCGACCGGTCTGAGAGCAACCCATCTCGGACTTAACCCTTGCAGTGTGGGGATAGGGTTTTACCAGAGTTTTGCTTTAATTCTTGTTTCATTGATCAAAATATTTTTGTGTTTGGTGGCTTCAGTGTTTGTATTTGTTTCTACAAACTCATTTACTGTATGTGCTTTGTATGTTTGAAATAGGTCACTGGAAAATTGTTATCTGATGTTTTTTAAATAATTATTTAATCATGAGCAACTTAAGAATGCCTTAATTCCCCTAATATTTTACTGTTTATTAAACAGCTGCCTTGTTGTATGGGCATTCATCTTTCTTTTCTAACGACAGCTTTTTCACTTTGCAGAGGAGTTTTTCCTTAGTGAATAAGCTGAAGCACTGCAGACTTCCATCAGCCAATTAAAAAAAAAAAAATCACTAAGCCAAGGAAAAATTCCCCTGCAAAGTAAATCAACCTCCACTGTATATGTAAGAAAAGTTTAATAATCATTATAGAAGTCAGTGTGAGATAGTATATCACCAGATGATGGATTGCAATGAATTCATGTAGTGTTGTAGTGGAAGACGTTTAACTTTAGTGTAGCAGACATTCAGGCTGAAGTTGGAACACTCCTCAAATATTATGACTTTACAAGCTACTGGTACAAAAATACACATTGCCTTAAAAACTAAAGAAGCAGGAGTGCAATTACTCATACTGACCAATTATACTTCCATTCACTCTAGTAATTCATGCTGAACTCCAGGCAGGCAGTTGAATACACAGTAGAAATACATTTTTGTGAGCTGTTTTAGTTGACTAAATATTTTTACTTAGTATTGTGATGCAAGGACTCACGGGGCCACCCTACAGGCTACATTGCAGTTAAGCAATAAAACTTAGGACCCAGGACACACCCTAGCCAGTGATTGGACAGTGAAGGAGCAGCAGCACAATTAGGTTGTCTTTCTGCTGTCCTTTCCTGTGTGTGGGACCCCTCATCTCCTAGTCTGTGTGTTGCTATGCAGATTACTGGAGATTTATATTTACACTCACCTATGCCTCGTACCAGTGCTACATCTTCCCCCTGTACGTCCTGCACCTGTGGGTCCTGTGTTCTACAAGAGAGATTCCAGCTTTCATACATATGTGTGCTCTCATTCTTTCTTGCCTCCCTGTGATCCCAGACCCCTATTGTGCCCAGAGACTTTGGCAGTCCTGACTTCTCATGGGTCCAGAATTAGGCCCCATTCACATGTAGCGACTTCCGCCGCGATATCATGCATTTTTGCCGCGCGATATCGCGAGAAGTCGCCGGCTAATGATAGTCAATGGAGCTGTCTTAGCTCCATGTCGCGCCTCGCTCGTCGCGGTCGCAAGTCGCTTCTACAGGACCCTTTTTCGGCGGATTTTGCACGATTTTGCTTTTTTCTATGGAGCCCGATGGAGAAGGTCGCGCTACCGTCGCTGGATCGTCGCTGGAACGTCGCCCCGAAAGTCGCGCTATTCCGGCCGCTGCAAAGGTATGTCGCTACATGTGAATGGGGCCTTAGAGTGATCCGAGAGACTTTGTCACTCCTGACTTCCTACGTGTCTAGATTTCCAGTGCTTCTAGGGGGGAAGGAATCAAGGAGCAGAAGATTTGATTACTCTGCTGTGTCTGTGTGTTTGTGGAGACAAACACAGCTTAATAGCACCAACAAGGGTGGCTCCATAAAACCAGGCAAGGGAAATGGGCCACTGTAAAACAGGATATAAGGACCAGAGCTCAGGGGACCATGTGATTCTGCAGGAAACTAAAAAGTTTAAACCGAAAGATTCAGCATCCATTGTAAATGATTTAATCAGCATTTGGAATAGCGTAAAAATCTTTTGACTTTAATATCACTTTAAGAGATTTCTGATTGGTTGCTGTGTGTTATTTCACTTAACATGTAGTTGCTGCACTTTCCTAGATCTGAATATCATCCTCTAACAAGGAGATTAAATAAAAACTTTGTTTTATGTAATAGCACTCAAACTAGGAAAATGTGGCTCACATTGCAGAAAGCAGAAATTTCCCTTAATAGAAATAAATCCACATATGAAATTCTAGCCAGCCAGATAAATATTAACCCAGACAAATGTAGAAGTATCTTGCAAAACAAATATCCCTTTGTTTTCCTATTGGTGTTACAGTAAATGCCTTTTCCTGTACATTTTTTGCTTGGATTTTGAATTTCCAAGTCTTCACATTTCTGCAAGGTCAAATTTTGTTTTATATTTTATTCTATATTCTTTTTTTATAGGACATGCATATGGTAATATAAATGCAGCTTTGAAACTCATGTAAACAAAATCTTTTTTTTTTTTCTATAGTCACTGAAATAGTTCTTACTGTTGCACAAAGGAAGTACTTATATGGGCTATAATGTGATGTCTTCAAGGATCATTATGATTAGAAGTGTATTTATAGTCTTATTTATGCCCTACTGATGCCAATCGTCAAGACTGTGTTTGCCACATATGCAAGTACCTTAATAGGCGGCTTACAGGGTTAGCTGTACAATCACAGAATAGCCAGTAATTAAACACTACTTATACAGTAAAACAACGCGTGGGCTAAGCATGATAGCGACATTGTGGGATTGTGTGTGCTTAGTCATGACCCTTTGCCATTGTGTAGGTTGGCGCTTAATATTCAGTCATTTGACAAATATAAAGTTATTTAGTAAGAAGTTAAAGAAAAAGTGATAAGGTTCAGTGAATTTAATTCCCGTTATCACAACAGAGCTGTTGCAATTCAAAATGATTGTTGATTGGTTGCAATGGGCCATTGCACTTTTCTCTTTGCCTAGGTAGGGAAGGGTCTTATACCTTTTCCCTGAATATCATAAGCAAGTCGAGCCTACAAAACAGCTGCATTGGCTCCCTGTACTGGGTCAGTATCATCGTAAGCAAGATGCAATCAATCCATTTTGACATCACTTATGGAAGATAATGCCATCATCTCACTCTATTCCATAAAAAATTAAGTTGTAGAAGACCCACTGTGCTACTAACAATCCTAGAGCAGGGTTTTCTAAGTTTTGGGTAGTAGGGTTACAGGGTAATTATAAAAAAAAGATCAAATGTATGTCCTATACATCCTACTGTAGTCATCATGACGCTAGGGTATTGTCCTCTCCACGAGATCTGCTGGAGCCTATAAGAGCATTTTCTCCATGTGGTTAAAATAAATGACTTGCAATTCTCAACACTGTAAAGAGTGTATTCTCATAAAATTGTTATATGGTTGGAAGTACCACCTAGAGTGCCACCTAGAATGCTGATATACTGCATACTACCAGGGGCACATATTCCACAGAAACACATTATTATTGTATTAGTACTTTATATGTTTTATCCATGCAGTGCTTAGAATCTGGCTGGTTGCTGCTGTTTTTCTGCAATCCTGTAGAGTTGATATGTATTACATTCTGTATTGCCGTTAACTTTGCGTTGACTTGGGAGAAATTTCAGCTCGAAAGTTATCATGTTTCTTTGGCAATACAATGCCTCGTCTGAATTTGTTCCTACTTTGCTGCACTAACTAATACTAGCAGTCTTGCTTTTGCTGTCTCTTGAACAAGACAACTTCAAATGGTTTTTTTGTACAGGTAGCAAGTATCCCACACAACAGTTTAAGTTTTTGACCGGCTGCAAGCAGCTTTATTGTGTTTCTAGCATCAAACAAGCTTAGGCAAAAACAAAAATAAATTTAAATCTTTCAGGCACTTACTACACAATTGACGTCCTTCTGTAACAGTGAAATGGACTTTGTGCGTAGCTCCACAAAATAATAGCTTGTACTTACAAGGCTGTCATCACATGGCCTCTCTGTAGATCAATGTAGTCTGATTTCCCCAAAGTATGAGAATGTGTGAACATCTAGCTTCCACTGAAAAGGAAAGGCACACTTTAAACATAATAAGGTCTAATTAAGCAGTTTTCTGGAAACCCATCACTGGAAATACACTCTCTTACCACCAAACCTGTTTTCCCAGGACTTTTTTTACAACTAATATTTATTGACAAGAATGTAATGTATTACATGTTACTCTGGGAGCGTGTACCAGATGTCTATAGTCTTTCCATGATACCGGACAACATCCTTTATTTACAGCAACATCACTGGGCTGTTTTTCCTCGAAACTTCTGAACTTTGCTGATCTAAATAATTATGCTCTCCATTTGACACACCTCCTTCCAGGCATTCATGTGAAAGACTATTTTAATGTTTTAAGTTTGAGAATGATCTGATAAAGCCTTTGTTAGCAAAATCTGTAGAGATTTACATATGATGATGCACGAATGAGTGTTTGCTCCAAAGTGTGTCTCCTCATTATTTATTTGCCATCTCTCTATTAGTGCAGATGTTAACAGTGACGTATGTAGGTGTCAAAACTGTTAACATTTGTTAACAATCGTTCAACAGGTGAGAAACTGGAGGAATTTCTGCGCTCTCTAAACAGCAGCAAGCCCCTTTATTTGGGACAGACAGGACTGGGGAACATTGAAGAACTTGGAAAACTTGGACTTGAACCTGGAGAAAACTTCTGCATGGGAGGTCCGGGAATGATCTTCAGCCGAGAGGTGTTGCGAAGAATGGTCCCACACATTGGTGAATGTCTACGTGAGATGTATACTACACACGAGGATGTGGAAGTGGGAAGATGTGTGCGCCGCTTTGGTGGAACACAGTGCGTCTGGTCCTATGAGGTAAGAATGTGTTTTTATTATTGCTTATTTCAATTTATTTTCAGTTTTATTTGTTTTATATGAATAAACCTTCTGATACTTGACATATTATACAGCCTTCCCTATTAAGCTTATGTATTATATCATATCATATAAACTCACATTGACTGAACAGTTTTTAAACATAACAGATGTTATTGTTCCCTTGTTTCCTTATGTATATTTCTGAACCCCCTTTAAGAGCCTTTTGAACCACATATAATAGTCATAGTCAATAGTTCAGTAGTCAGTGGCTGGTGGCAGAATGATTAAACCGTGAGCATTTAGCAGAATATTAATTTGTTTAATTTCAATTTGTATTATACAAAAAAGTTTCGTCCTACCCTCAGGTCAGCCTCTTCTCTTTGACATCTTAAATATGTACAAACAGTCAGCCTGGACATTTTAGAGGCACCTTTGTGGCTCTTGTTCCAGCAATTATTTGGAAAATGGCTGATTAGAACCTTTTGTATATATACTGGATTACCAGCCCATATTTAGTATACATAATTAATGGGGCCAGAGTGAATCCAAGGGACAAATAGATATTTTCTTTAGCAATAGAAACAAAACTTGAAAAAAAAATTGAAAGCATGTCCATGCAGCAATAAAGCTGAGCTGTCAAGATTGAAAGTAAGAAAGGGAATTTCTGAAGATGCAAATACCATATAATGAGGATCTGTGATATTTTAAATATTTGTTGTAGATCTAAAAAACTGTGGTTTAAATGAAATATTTATGAGGGCCGTTTCATACACTATATTTTGTGGGCAGAGCAATTGAGGATGACTAAGTTATTGATAATAATATATGGTGTCTGCATGCTCTGCTCAGAGACAGACTAGTGCAGGGTAAAATATGGGTTTCTTGGGGTCTCTTCAATATAGATTGCTTCTATTTTGCTACCAAAATTGTTAATGGGATCTTCAGGAAAATAACAGGATATGCTACATTCATTGATATTCAGCATCTTGGGAGTCTTGAGAACATACAGTATAGGGAAGATCAGTAACACTTACGTACTTGTAGAGTGCTAAACACAAGGGTGAGCTAAGGAAAGGTGGTACATTGAAAATGCCTGTGGGTGTTATCCACTTTGAACTTAAATGGTTTGGATGAGTACAGTGTTTCATTAATAGTTTCCACGGAGTGATAAAACCTAACTGTTTGTTCTGTCTTGTTCATTATACCTTAGTGAAGTTTCTAAAATCATGTGGCTTAGTGGTTAACACTTTTACAGCACTCAGGCACCTGGTATGGCCAGGATACTATCTACATGGAGTGAGCCTGTTCTCACTATGCCTGCATGGGTTTCCTCCCACCCTCTAAAGCAGGGTTCTCAAACTCAATTCACTCGTGGGCCACTAGACAAATTGATTGCATCCAGGGAGAGTGCTTGATTTCTAACCACATGTAATCATATCACATACCATTACATGCAGTGCTCTGGCTTTTACATGCAGCGGCTGGCACATGATCATTAACTTGAACTGGTTACAGCTGCTGCTTGTAAATGCCAGTTTAGGGATTTTTGCCACAGAAAAACACAAATTCCCAACACAGCAATCCCCAATCACACCTAAACTTACAGGTATGAATGGAGCCTAATACAAACATACACACAAACCTGGTGCAGACCTTACTAATCCTTCCTTTCGCCTGGAGCTCAGAACTGTCACAGCTCCGGCCGAAAGGAATTACTGAGTGCCAGAGCTGACAGGAGCAGCTATGCGGTGTGCATCTGACAGAGATGCAGACCATGTAGCTGTTCCCATAAGTGAGGTACGGTGTACCTGACTTGACAGCCTGCTGCTGGCTGAATGGTACCAGATTATGGACCTGGACTGACCTGCAGGCCAGTACTTTGAGACCCTGCTCTAAAGACATGCTGGTGGGTTAATTGGCTTCTGTATAAATTGGCCCTAGTATGTGAGATAGGGACTTTAGATTGTAAGCTCCTTGGCAGGGACTGATGTGCATGTGCAGTATGTAAATCACTGCACAAATTGTTGGTGCTATAAAAAAAATACCTGTTATTTAATATATAATTTAAAGGATCTGTGATGAAGGGAATGGTTTCCTATATTATATGAAAGAAGGTGTTCCTAGCAACCAATTAGCTGTACATGCTCTTTGCCCAGGCCAATTTTTAACTGGCTTCGAGAGTATGCATATGTACAGAGATGTGCAGAAAATCTTGTGACTGCAGACAGCTTTATCAATAGCAGAAGGAAATATAAACTATCAGAGCCACTTAAAACTAAAGGCCATCAGTAGGAAGGAGTAGGTGAAATATTGTATTTGCAAACTTTTGATTCGACTTTTGAACTTCTTGATTTGCCCACATACTGTATACACTGTAAGAAGATAAGGTGTGCTAAAATGTACTCATTCTTTAAAGTACAAGATGTCATATTGCTTACCATCTTTATATAAAACATAAATAGATGGCAAAAGAGCATTTGCAGCTAGTGGTATCATATACTGTATAACACCACTTGTTAACAGGCAAGTGCTTGGACACGTTTAATCCCATTTATAAAGCAACTTGAGCCATCAGAAAAAATTTTGAAAGGAATCTCATTTCAGTAAAGGTTGTTGCAGTTAGGTGTTTACTGAAATACTAATTTCAGCTACTTTGTATCCATATTCTAAGCCTTGCAGACATATTCTGCATGTTTCTAAGGGTTAATTACAGTGCCTTAATATCACATTCATTATACTTTAAAATGTAATTAAGCACTTCAATGTTTGGGAGCAACACCTTGTTAAGAAGCTGGGCTTTAAATCTAAGCGTGTGTGTTTCCTCTTTGATGTTCAATTATGTAGTTACAATGCACTCATCAATACGTCGCTCCGCACCATCTTCAAGTATTTAAAAAGGCGAAACTGGAGACAATTTAGGAAATGCTTTCCTTAAAATAAAGAAATAGCATCTACGTGCTATAGCTTAGAACTTAGTGTATCTAAACCCAAAAACAAAAATGTAAGTATATTGCAGCTTAGCAGTCCTTACAGGTGCCAGAATTTATTTTCTTCTTTTTTCTATGTTTTTTTCCTGGTAATCCTGTGAATATCACGATTCCTGTCCTGGGGTAACTATGCTCACTCACTGTACTCTTTATATGGAGGTAGCCATGGTTGAGACCTAGGCCTATAACTTTCAGGGGTCACTGGAAGTTTGTACAGTATGGTATGCTTTACTCTGGACTGCAAACATGTCTGCATCTGTCCTCCTCCTGCACATGGGATAGGGAGATTCATAGTTTACAGTAGGAAGATGCATTGCTTTTGCTTTCAGTTCAGATCACAGGAAATGACACTGACTCTTCATTTCCAGCAGGATCAACAGGTATATTCTAATGTTCTTAGCCTGAAAAGGGATACCTAATGAAACCACCATATCTAAGAACAGGCTACATATAGGATTTTCAATATTTGTTCTTGGGGTTAGTGGTCTTTTAAATGTTATAGGATTCGTATGTTACTGTTAATAAATGTCTTTATTTTCATTGATCATAATTAGGGAATGCTGACAATGATGTTATTATACCAGTACAGCAAAGCTACTATCACTATATTTAGCAAGAGTGGAAATGCTGGCCAGGGTTGAAGGATGTGGCTTTTGCAAGGAAGGGTGAGAAAGTCTAACTGGAAAACAGTTGTATGTGGGAGGGATGTCGTAAAATAGTCACTATAGACCTGATTCTTAGCTGCTGACTGTTGTTTAGAAAGCTCTATAAAATAGCCATTTATGCACAGTAAATAGGTTTGAAAATCACCATTCATGCACAGTAAATACATTTGAAAATGGCTAACATTCCTTTTTAAAGTGATCCTGTGGCAAGGCTATGGGCATTTATGTATTTATATATTCTAGACAAACACAACATGAGCTTTGAAAATAACCCTTACTGACATTTGTAGATGCAAGCAGCGTAGAGGAATTAATCCTTAAATTTAACAACAAAATCAGTAAGATCAGATTTCTAGTCCTTCTCTGGGCAGCTAGACTCCCCCTGCTCCAGCTCCCAGCAGTGACCCAGCAGTGACCCAGCAGCCTTTCCGACTGCCTATCTTTAATGTATACACAGAGCAGGTGCACTGGGTGGGTGATTGTTCACTCAGCTTAATGAGTAAAGTAAAGTTGTGGTTACTTTAATCATCCAATCATATGCAAGCAATTTTTAATTCCAAAGTATTAAACATGAGCATAAGTTTACACTATTACTAAGCTAAGTGAACCTTCACTTTACTAAGTGAGGATTCTCTACTGGTAGTAAAGATGTTTCTTTGAATGATCTCTATTGCTTTAAAAAAAAATAATATTGGCATTTGTTTAAACCACTATGCATACAGGCTTTCTTAGCAATAATGTAGGCTTTACTCAAGTCAATACTTTTCTTTAGATTAGAACAGAGTGGAAAGGGGTAGAGTCTATCAGATTTTAATTGCTATTGGTACCTTTATTGTGGAGATTGCTTCTCTCCATCTGTCCCTGTCACACTGGAACAACTAATTAGGGGCACAGATGTCACTTGTAGACACTGACAGCAAAAAAAAACAAAAACCCCAACAGAGGTTTTCACCCCTTTTCCATAGATACCTGACTGGCTACACTGACAGCTCTAATTGCTGTCTTGTAGCATCATATCCACCCTGCACAGTATTTTCAAGTTTCTTAGTTGCCTTTTTACAGTATTATCCTCTCTGCTTTAGCTCCAAGTTACTTTTACTTATTGCCCTGATGAAGGGGAAACAGATCCCTGAAACTTGCTGGAATTCCTGGAACCTTTAACAATCATTCCAACTGTGCAAGGATAGCCATGGTATTGTACATTCTGTTGGATACATGCATTGTCCCTCCTGATGGAGTGTAGCTCTCACATTCCTTTTGTTTCATCTATGTATGTATGTAAATGTATATATACATGGCACACTGTGATATCTCTGTGTTGTCAATAGAGCATCCTCTCATAACT